GGGGGGGGCTCAGAAATCTCACTTTATCTCACAGTATCATGGTGGGATATACCCCATCCTTTGAAGATCATTACAAATTCATTAAGTTATTCATTTTATTATTTTTTTTGAAGCTGAGAAAAAGATAAAATTTTTAATCACAAAGTGAAACAACTCACAGTAACAGGAACTCCACTGTCAACTTCATCCATTTCTGACTGTGACATGACAGCTGGTGAGAAGCTCCGTCCAGCCTCAAGCAAAGTGCTGACTGGCTGAGATTTTCGGCTGGGGGATTTAAAGCTCTGAAAAGAAAAATTATGTCATATATAAAGGATCTTTTGCTAGTGGAAATGGGGAGAAATCCAGTCTAAAGAACTAAACACTGCTTGAGTGTTGGTCAACAAATTGACATGTTCAAATGACAATTTTCTGACCCACCTCTGTCAAGTTGGCTTACAAAAATACATTGTGAGAAAATTGCAGAACATTTAGCTTAATTTAACTTCCAAAACTAGATGTTCTTATTAAAGAGCTCTTATAAAACAATCTAAATGAATGAAATGACTATTAATTGTGCAAGAATGGAAAAAATGTGAGTCTCATTGATTAATAATAGAATAATTGACATTCCACATTAGTCCTTCTAACCCAAATCATTTTTCATTTTCCTTAGGAGTTCAAGAAAGGAGGTCCTATTGTTTACTTATCAAATATTAAAAAATTCTAACAAGTCTGGAAACAAGCATTGAAAAAGAACTTTACCCCAGTATCCTCTTTCATTTTCTTCATTCTCTTCCATGCCATGGTCGCCACTGACTCACGTCGGCTCAACGTTCGTAAAAGATCAGGGTCTGGTTTAAGTGTGCCTTGATAGCTACTGAGGCTTTCTCTACCACCAGGCACTCTGAGTGACCCATGAGGAAAACTATCCACAACATCCTCTGGTTTCTCAATAAGAGCACCATACCGTTTATGGTAGTGCCGCTTTGTTCGCTGATTCCACTTCCTCTGCAGATGGTCATGGTCTTCATCGCAGTCTCCCAGGCCAAAGAAGTTCTCTGTACCTTTGATAATTTTTCTGTTCAAGGGAAATGAAATAAATCAAATGTCATTTTCCATCATTAAAGGAGGAATGGTAATGTGGACGACAATGTGATTAATGAATCAGGTTAAATGTCCGTATATGTGACCAGAAGCCCATTTCTTGAAAGTCCTGGTAACTTAACGGGCCCAAAGCCATGTTTTAAAATCCAAATTTAAAGGATAGGAAAGCAGGTTCTGGCACCCAAACCAGTCCTTTTTGTTTCTTAAGCTGATAGTTTAATTGTATCATTTTCAAAACTTTTGAAATCCCCATTTTGAATAAAAACAGAACAGTTTTATGGCCCACTAAGTTATGGAGACTTTCGAGAAATGGACCCCAGGACTCAAAAGGAAACGGGGAAGGGGTTATAGGGTACACTGTCTGATTTAACGGCTTACGGTAATTTGCAAAACGAAACGAAACGAAGCCAAATGAAACAAGGTTCGCAGACAATTTCTTTAGGCGCTCTGCTCCTGAAAATTGTCTTACTAGATAAAGCAAAGACAGGCTTACAGACACAACAAGAAATTATTCTCTCTCTACGAAAACTGTTCTTGCTAGATGCCTTGTTTTGCAAAATACCAATAACGTCCGGCTTATGGTATTTCGCGAAACGAACGAAGCAAAACAAGGTTCGCAGACAATTTCTTTAGGTGCCCTGCTCCCAAAAATTGTCTTGCTAGATAAAGCAAAGACAAACTTACAGATGCGACAAGAGATTATTCTGTCTCATGCTTGTCACCTCTACCTAAATCAGCATTTAAAGTGTAATGAATATAAAAGGAAAAACTTCAAATATCTCTTGTGCGCAAGATCTAAGGGATCTTAGCGGATCACGTATATTTCAGAACAAAAATTGCACACTAGCTCATAAATTCATGTATCATGCTAGCCTTTCTGTAAAATTCATGTGTCACATATTAACTTTGGTCTTAATCATGAATCACAAAGTAATCAAGGATGGTGATATTTCCAAAGAACACATGCTGGGACAAATGTTTCAACATGAAAATCAACAGGTTACTGGCCATAGAAAATCAGCCAAGTTCATTGAAAAAATCTGGCAAAACTCAACAGATATTCAAGCAAGGTAGGTATATCAATATTTTTTACTGATGACTTCCACTGTTAGTTTGCAACATATATTTTAAGGAGATTTTAAAATCAATTTCAATGAATGAAACAATTTGTATCACGAGGAAGATGACATAAATCACTGATGCAGCAAAAATATACTGAAAATTAGAGAAACACCATAAGAAAGGTCAGACATGCTGCAAAACGACTCTAAAGGTTATGTTCGTTTACAAATGAAAGTCAACATCTTATCTTCAATTCATACATCACTAAACATGTTATACAAATAGCAATGGCTGTGATTGTCGACCAATTACTGCAGCAATTAGACTGAGTCCATTAATAAAAGTGTCAATTGATAATTAGCTACGATTTAGCACCCCTGAGAGAGATGGAGTTGCTCCTTAAGAAAATTCTTGTTATCACGTACTCTCGTTAAAAAAAAAAACAGCCTGCGTACTTAAAACAAACCTTTCACTGATTGAAATCTCAACCTCATATCTTTGCTGGAAGGAAAATCCTACCTTTTTCCCCGCTTGAGGGTGTTAGATATACTCGCTATGCTTGGCCTGGCTGACATTCTAGGAATACTTATACTGTCTAAACTGGGTCTTGCAGACGATGGCTCTTGGAAATACTGAATAAATTCTGGATAGTATTCTTCTTGATCCAAATCATTGAAGTTTACGTGTTGTTGTGTGTAAAAAACACCCGAACTAATCGAACCACGAGAGCCGCCAGAAGAGGCCATTTTATCAGGTAAATACACTGAATTTGCGCTGATAAATTTTGTTACGTTCAATATTCTCACGGATATTAGTCTACTCGCGGTTAAAACAATGTATGCGTTGATGTTGGATGGCAAAAATATACACAGGCTGAAAACATGACAACGCGAACAAAAAACAAAGACAATGACAAAATTAACTTTAGAATAACAGTTTAAGTGCAAAAAAATCCAATGCCTTGTTCCCTGATATGTATAAAACTTCGTTTAATCAATGATACCAATGTTTTCGGCACAAAATCGTGTAACCGGAAATGAGGAAAAGCATAAATATAAGAACAGTGGTCCCTATACGTTAATGCATGCCACATCTCAATTCCTCGAACAATACGAGGAATATTCAGCAGATACAAATAAAAATATCAGCAGTGAATGTCATACGCACTTTTTGAGTGTCTTCACCCGGGTCAACTTGCTAGGATTCGAAGCACTCTCTGCTGTAGCCGGGAGAAAAAGTTCGGATTCCGCTGGACTTGGAAGAGCACTGCCGTCTTCCGTTTTGCTTGTCTGTCTGGTAACACATCGAGTTAAGAGCCTTGAAATTCAAAACAGCAACCACATAAAGGTTATCATCCATAACTTGTCAAGAAGAGGTTTCACTTCCTTTTAACTAAAGAGATTTCCATAGATTCAATCGCTTTTTAAAGCTCTCTTAATTCAATTTGTACTTTGGATGGGCCATATGAGTTCCAGGTGACGCTCTCAAACCAAAAACAATATTTATCTCTCGGTAAGCTAATATGTGTTTGATGGAGATCAAAACAAGCTAAGATGTGAATTTGAAACTCGGTTAATGGCAACAGCCTAAGATAATTACCCCTGATTTCCTCGATCGTGTTTCGTTCCCTCGCTATCGTCCTTGTTTTCTCGTTCGTGTTCATGACCATTCTCGAGGTCAAAATGCCTTCGACCTTGAAACGGGTTGCAAAACGCTGTTCTCTCATTTCCTTCGCTGTCTTGCCTCTGAACCGTTGTAGGTTGGTAGGCATCTGCCATGGCCGGCTTTACAGCCCAGAGCAATCAAAGCAAAGATGTAATTTTGTCGCTTTTTTCTATTGTTCGAAGCAAAAAAATTTCGGAACGAATCAGCACTTTCAACTCGGAGAGGTCTGGTTCCGAATAAACCTACCCGTCCGCGCCTGCAACAAAGGGAGTGGCAGCTTAGGGAAACACCCGTGAACTGGTGCATATTTGTAGAACAAGGACTGGATTGGATTTGTAAAACATGGACTGGATTTGTAAAACATGGACTGGATTTGTAAAACATGGACTTGTAAAACGTGGATTTGTAAAACATGGACTTGTAAAACATGGATTTGTAAAACATGGATTTGTAAAACATGGATTTGTAAAACATGGATTTGTAAAACATGGATTTTTAGTGTTTGAATTGGTACCAATTCAAACACTGAAAATTATCCGTGTTTACTTTCTTTCTCGCAACCTTCTTCACTCTTTTTCACGTGTTTGCTGGATGCAGAGTATTCACTTTTTCACGTATTTGAGTTAACTGAAAAAGCTCGGTCCAGGTATGTACAGTTACTATAACAAATCTGGAAACCATTTCAAGTACATGGCGCTTAGATAGACTCCAGTGTTTTATTCATCTTTAACACAAGAGAAGAAACAAATGTAAAGTCAGCCAAATAGACGGTCCCAAATGTCCCGCTTCCAAGCTCTTCTTTAATTTTTACAGAGCTCCATGAGAACTCTGGAAACTCAAATCCACGTCGCCGTTATCTGGTCAGAGATGGAAGTTTAAAAGATGCCGCCATCTCCTTCCTATCTTCTCCCGCGCAAATTTAAAAGATGCAAATTTTTTTTTGACAGAGGTCTATAATGCATTTTTCAAATTATGGTCTTTTGGCAGCCTGGTTGTTTGTATGTCACGTACACTTTTGTTTGTTCCATGTTTTCCCTAGTAAAATTACCTTTTCCCCTTAAAACGTTGGAAATCGGTCTTGACCAGCTCCTGTGTATTAAGATGTTGATAATTTTAAAAATAAAAACGCGCCGAATGCATTGTAGAGTGCATCAAACAATCTTTTAGAGAAATTATTAGGTAATATAGAATGAAAATAGTATAAAGTAAAACAATTAAGATTACAAAGGGACAGACAGAGAAATAAACAAATAAACATTCGAACAATGTTATCATGTTTCCATAAATCCATGTTTTACAAATCCATGTTTTACAAATCCATGTTTTATAAATCCATATTTTACAAATCCAGTCCATGTTTTATAAATCCAATCCAGTCAATATTTTACAATATATGTATATATGCACGATCCTTCGCAGTAAAGCACTATTTTAGCAATAGTGAAAATCAGACCTGAAAAAAATTTCAGGCCTGTACGGGATTCGAACCACTGACCTCTGCGATACTAGTGCAGCGCTCTACCAATTGAGCTAACAAGCCAACTGGGAGCAGGCCATCAAATTAATTCGACATAAACCCGTAGATGATAAATCAAACAACAACAAACATATGAAACATATGTATGAACTGCGGTTATGAAACGTATATGTGCACGATCCTTCGCAGTAAAGCACTATTTGAGCAATAGTGAAAATCAGACCTGAAAAAAATTTCAGGCCTGTACGGGATTCGAACCACTGACCTCTGCGATACTAGTGCAGCGCTCTACCAATTGAGCTAACAAGCCAACTGGGAGCAGGCCATCAAATTAATTCGACATAAACCCGTAGATGATAAATCAAACAACAACAAACATATGAAACATATGTATGAACTGCGGTTATGAAACGTATATATGCACGATCCTTCGCAGTAAAGCACTATTTCACACATATGTTTCATATGTTTGTTGTTGTTT